TTACGAGGATGAGGATCTTGGCAAAAGGAGAACAAGTCATATTTTAGAAGGTGCAAGTCAGAGCACCGTTGACAGTTTTGGTCAAACAGTCAGAGGTTTAGTTGACATAAGAGAGCTAGCAGACTCCATTTTGGAAAACCTTGCTGTGGCTTGAAGACAAGGATTGTATGGGTGATCTAGACCTCGACGACAGCTCCAATCAACTCCCAATGGCTCTCAACTCCTCAAAAGCATCTCCAATGGGTGGATTAAAGATGTTTATATAAATAGGATCAAAGAAGCTGAAAGGATTGGACGGGCAATAGAGAAACCTAGCTTTGTCGTTATTATCTCTCTATACTGATCAAGTAGTGCTACTGTTCATTTGAAATTCTCTTCGTAGTGTTTTTGCTACTTTGTAATCGGTGATAAGAGGAAGAGTATAAGAGTGATAGCAGTACTCATGCTCTGATAATGTGATCAATGTAGGGATAGAAGTACTACATGATGATTGTAACTTTTCTTAAAGATTACTAATGGATACCAATTCGTGTTAAGACTGTTACTTGAGAGAGTGAACGTAGGTCTGGGAATACAGGTGAACCACTATATGTAGTTGTATGCTATTTTCTATCCATTCATTATTGCCGATAATTTTTGTTATCCGACACACTGAAACTTGACTTGATAAGTGTACTTTTCGATTGTTTTGAATTATCGATAACTAGACTCTGCTTGCGCTACGATTGAGTGGGTTAGACAATTTTTCATGATGATCTAAAAACTAGCGAAAATTACTCGATGGAAAGACTACGCAATGTTAAGATATGGGGAACGATATACCGATAAAGACTTAATAAGAATTTCAACAATTAGTATTTGAGGATTAAGTCAAAAAAAACACTACAGGGGCTTAACAAGAATATCATTCAGAATAGGAAAAAGTCGCCAATTATAGTTTTTTCGGATGTTTTTCTAAAGCCTGGAAATGCTCTTTAGTCTTTCCTATCCAACCCTAAACTACGAATATAAACTTTAATGGCCATACATTTATTTCTAGCGTAGAAAAAGAATTAATCCACTGAACTTATCCTTAAGGTTCTAGCTTGTGACATTCCGAATTTTGGCCCATTTTTGGGATTTATAAAACGGGTATTTCGTCAGTGCGCTTATAGTAAAAATCTCGCCCGGGAACTGATCACTCCCGGTTATTATTTTTAAATCTTGAGATTTCGCTAGAATCGCACTCGATCGAATTTGGCCGTTATTTAGAGCCCAAACTTTGGTGTCGAATTTCTTGGAGTTCCGGGACGAAATAAATTGGACGGTGTCAATATTATCGTAGCCAGCGTTAAGATTGTCAGGAATAGTGAGAAAGTGGATTTTTGACCGGGTGCGAATTTGGACTAGTAGACCTCCCTCGTAGTGTGTTTTGGGTTATTTTCTTTTGGCCCTTTTTCCTGAATTATAATTAGGATTTTTGTGGACTGTGGGATAGTTTTCGGGTTCGAATCGTGACCGTTGGATCGCGATCATTGCTTTCTCTCTCTCTCTCTCTCTCTCTCTCTCTCTCTCTCTCTCTCTCTCTCTCTCTCTCTCTCTCCTCCCGCGCGCCTGCGCATGTCTGCCCATGCATGCAGACGTCCCCTCTCCCTTCTTTTCCGCTCACGTCTCCTCCTTCTCTCTCCTCTTTTCTTTTCTTTTTCTTTTTCTTTTCTCCCTCTTCCCTTCCTCTTCTTCTTCGTCTCTTCTGCCCCCGACCCTTGCTTCCGCTTCGCTTCTTCCTCCGCCCGACCGCACCTCGCCGACCGCCTCGCGCCGCCGTCGCCCGACCGAGCCGCCGCCGCCACCAACCGCCAGCCAGTCCCGTCGGTCGCCCCCGTCGCCTGGTCGCTCCCCTCTCTCCCCCGACTCCCGTCCACCTCCGCAGCTCCTCCCCGCCTCCGCAGCCCGCTGCTCGACCGCCCTTCGCCTCCGCCCGACGCCGCCCCACCAGTCGCCGTCGCCGCCGTCCTCCTCTCGCCGTCGTCGAGCCGCCGCGTCGCCGGCAGCTCCGCCCGACGCCGCCTTCCTCCCCTCCCGAGCGCGCGAGCTCGGCTCGCCGCCGCTTGCCGCCGCGTTCGGCGAGTCCCGGCCCGCCGTCCGGTCGTCCGGCCCGGCTCCCCGGCTCCGCCCGACGCCCGGGAGTGTCGTTGTCGCCGCCGCCGGTTCGACCCCCTCGGCCCGCTCGCCCCTCTCGCCACCACTTTGCCCCGCTTTCTTCCTCTCCCCTACAGTCTCTGTTGCCGCCGTCGTGTCGCCTCGCCGGCCAGCCAGCCGGCCGGTCAGCTCGCCGGCCATCTAGCCAGCTCGCCGACCAGCTTGCCCGAGCTCGCCCAGCCCGCCGACCAGCTGCTGCCCGCCGCCGTAGCTCGCCTCCGTCGCCGTCCGACCGTCGTCCGGCCAGCCCGGCTGCCGGCCAGCCACCCGGCCAGCGGCTCGCCGGCCGAGCGTGCCCGGCCGTGCTCGAGCTCGCCGGTCGAGCGTCCCGGGCCGTGGCCGAGCTTGCCCGGCGCCGTGCCCATCCGACCGGCGTGTCGCCCGTCCGACCAGGCGCGTCGCCCGGCCGTGGCCCGGCGCCTTGCCGTTCAGCCCGGTGCACCTCGCCCGTTCAACTTGCCGTGCGCCCGGGCATGCCGTTCGGCCACCGCGCCGCGCGCGCGAGGCACGCCGTCCGGCCATTGTGCCCGCGTTGGCCGGCCACCGCACCCGTTGACCCGTGCCCGCGCCTAGTTCGGCACTGTTCACCCGGGCCATTTTAGGCCCGAGCCGATTTTCTCCGGGCCAAAACCAAGTAAGTGACTTCCTAAACCCTACCTAGTACTTTGGGTATTTTTAGACTTGTTTAGGATGTGATTAGTACCGGGTTAGGAATTAATTTAGGCATGTGCTAATTAGATTGAGTGTGCCCAATTGATGAATTATTGTGGTGATAATTGTGTGGCTAATTTAGTGATTGACTGAGGTAAATAGCATGACTGAATTGTCGTGGCGCTTGTGGGTGAATTGGAATTTATTGAATGTGTTGACTTGAATGTCGGGTCGGTGGACCGATGTCGGGAGCATGAATTGAGTTGACTGATGTGGCGTGCTAGATTGACATTGGTGAATGGGTGGTGATTGAAATTGATTTATATGACTAAGAGCATGGTGAATTTTGTATTGTGGTGCATGTGCATGAGAAAAGCCCGGATCGATCGGAGGGCTGAGCCTGAGGCGTGTTTACGCGGGCTATGAAAGGTGAGTTAGACCTGAGGCGTAGGTTACGCGGGTCATTGGAAAGGGAAAAATGTCCTGAGGCGTGGTTACGAGGGACTGAGCCCGGCTTGATCTGAGGGCTGCCAACCTGAGGCGTGGTTACGCGGGTGTGGCTAGAAAGGCAAGTAATGACCTGAGGCGTGGTTACGCGGGTCGAGAGAAATGTCCTGAGGCGTGGTTACGCGGGACTGAGCTCGGCTTGATCTGAGGGCTGCCAACCTGAGGCGTGGTTACACGGGTGTGGCTAGAAAGGCAAGTAATGACCTGAGGCGTGGTTACGCGGGTCGAGAGAAATGTCCTGAGGCGTGGTTACGCGGGACTGAGCTCGGCTTGATCTGAGGGCTGGCCTGAGGCGTATTGACGCGGGCCGTGTGAAAGGACCTGGGAGGTCGTGAGAAAGTTGCTCGGCCACGCATGCGAATTGAGTGTGATTGAACTGACTGGTTGAATTAGTTGGAGTGATTGAGTGAAAGCATGGTTGGTGTTTGAGCGATTTGTGATGTGTTATTTAATTACTATTATTGCCTTATCACGTGACGACTAACGTGTAGAGTTGGCATGGGCTTGATGGCGAGGTAAGTACAATGACGTGAATTTTATATGTTGTGGGGTAGATTGCATGTACGACTTGTCTGGGTACGCATTGGCCTACGTGGGGTATAGGGGGTTGCTTATTGAGACTCGTTCTCACGGTTATTATATAACCATTTCAGATCCGCGACCATGAGTGACTGGAGACGCTGCAAGGGTATCTCGGAGATCAAGTACGGGTCAAGTTGCCCCATATTTTTGTGTGCCCCTCTTTTGTATAGCGAAGTAGGATATCCAACCACTACTCCGTTTTAATGTTGTGTATTTGGAATTATTGTTTTGTGCTATCCCTTCGTCATATTTTACTGTCTGGGTTGTTTTATTTCGCTTCCGCTTGCATAGTTCGTTTGGGTCGGCGACGCGTCCTGGGACGTCGCGTTCAATACGACCGTGGAAGGGGTGTCGCGAGCCCGTTGGGGTTCGGGGCGTGACATAGCTTCTGTGATACAGACTACAAATTACTACTAAGTCTTTTTTCCATTTCGAAATTTGGCAGGAAATGAATTTCTAGGCACGTATGTCTCTGCTATATAAGACGTTGCAATGAATTCATTAAGCTAATCAAATTACTCACCCGAAATAGTTTGAAACCTATCTTCTGATATAAATAAATATATAAGTACAGAAAATAGGAGAAGTAGGAGTTAGCATTAGAAGGGTGTAGTTCATGTGCTTGGATCAAGTGTGGACTAATAAGTCATTGTGAGTTTTGAGAATTTTAATGATAGTACATTGCTCATCTAGTTGTTAAGATTCATTGTTTTGCTCGTTTTGCCATTGTATTACTTAAACAACAACGGCCATGAACATGAGAAATACTCTCTTTTGGCTTCTAGCGGTATCTCTTAATTTCTCTCTCCTAGAGAATGAACACCTAATGTAGCTAGTGAACTCATGAATTTACTCAGGCAAAACATGACAAAAAGTAGAATGGTTGGTCCTTCGCCAGTTTGGCAATTCTAGAATTTATCAGCTAATGGGATACACTTTGGAAAAATCAGAGGACTCCTCCACTCCAACCTATAAATATATCTCATTCTCATCTCTTCTATCCCAAGCTCACAAACCTCTTGAACTCCAGTCTCGTTGATCATATCGTTCATATTTCTCTAGCTTGCAACCTAGAAATTATCATGGGTGTGTTCACTTTCACCAACGAATACAATTCCACAATTCCTCCGGCAAGATTGTTCAAAGCCCTAGTTCTGGACTCAAATAACCTAATTCCCAAACTCATGCCTCAAGCTATCAAGAGTATTGACATCATCCAAGGCGATGGAGGGGCAGGAACCATTAAGCAGATCAACTTCATTGAAGGTAATTATGCATTTTTGCTACATAAATGTGCTTTATTTTTTCCTAGCTTAAACATATGTTAAGGCATACACAAGTAATCTATGACATGATCTCCTACCATTGTCTATAGGTGGCCAGGTTAGCAGCATGAAGAATCGCGTGGATGAGCTGAATGAGAAGACATTCACGTACACGTATACAGTGATCAATTTGAAGGAAAAGTTTGAAACTACTGTTTACGAAGTCCAATTTGAGCCTACACCGGAAGGAGGGAGCAAGAACAAGATGACAAGCACGTATTACGCAAAGGGCGATGTTGAGCTTAAAGAAGAGGACGTTAAGGCAGGCAAAGAGAGAGCCTTGGGAATGTACAAGGTCGCCGAAGCATATCTCCTCTATTATATTTCATCGGTCCGCCCATGATGTGTGTGTCCAAGGGACACCATTTGCTCTAATAAGAAGTGTGTCTGAGAGACACCTTTTGAAGAGGTGCGAGAAGAGTTTCTTAAGGGAAGTTAAGATAACTTCCTCAGATTATGAACCAAAAAAAATATTCAGAACTCTCTCTCTCGACGCATTAGGATTCCGTATCTACTTTGAGAAGACAATCGGCATTAATGCTGTGGAACGAGAATACTTTCCTTGTGATTATATTTGGACCAACGTGTAGTAGATTCGCTCATCGTTTGCTGGTGATTCAACGTACGATCCTGGAAATTTTGTTCGTAGTGCATCGAACGGGTTAGTCGATTCTCCCGACATACGCTTCCAACATTGGTATCAGAGACTCGGTTATGATCTCTGCCTTGTTTTCCCGTTGATTTTTTCCGCTTGCTGTTTGATATGGAGATCATGATGATGAACTTCACACTGTCTGCATGTTCATTACTCGGGAATTGCAAGATGAATCGACGAACATGAATTGAAACGAAGAATGGGTTTGAACGTTACGGGCAACCGTTCTGTTCGGATGATTTTCGAAAAATTCTTTACGGTGAAAATTATTTTTTATTATACATAATTGAAGAACTCGTCGAGACGAGCAGAATGGTGGGTCGAGCGCTGTCGGAAGCCGCCGGACGCGCCCACATGCGCGGCCAAAAGCCATGGCTCGTGGGAGCCACGGGCCCAAAGCGCTGGCACTGCCAGCGCGTGAAGGGCACGCGCCGGTTCACGTGCCAGCGAGTGAAGGGCATGCGCTCGTCGCCAACCGGCGCGTGCTGACGTCATCGATGACGTCAGTAAAACTATAGGTAACGACACGCTGACGTCATCTTGCCGGCCGTCAGCAACCGGCGACCTGACCCGACCGGCGACCCGACCCTGATGTTGACCCAAACCGCAACCCGACCCGGACGTTGACCCGACCCGAAGACCCGACCCATGACTGGTCAACAGTCAATCGGTCGGATCGGTCATCGGTCAAACCGGTTAGACCGGTCGGACAGGTCGGACCGATCAACGGTCAAACCGGTTGGACCAGTCGGACCGGCTCAGAAGCCCGTATAGGGCAAGCGCGTGCGCCACACGCGCCGCGCACTTAGGCGGCGAGGGTGGGCGCATGGGAGGTCCGATCGGGCTGTGGTTGGTACCGTTGTGTTCGTATTGAAATTCTCTACATTGTAGTATAGTTATTTTATATGTTTGAAGCTTTTAAAGGTATGAAAATGCATACGAAACCCAAAATATGTGTATTTTTGGGGTATTATTGCATTTTACTTGTATTTCCCTATGGTTTTGGAAATACAGAAGCTGGCTAACATGTAAATGACCACATAAAGATTATGTAGAGCATGGTTCATTGATGGCATGTTGCTATGGTTTGACGTGCTTGCAATTTCCTAATTTTGAGCATATTAAAATAATGGCTGGAGATCCTTACGTCATGAATTCTGCTGTTGATTATATTTGTTGCATGAATGTTCAATTTGTTGATTTACATCATGCCATGCTATATGATTGCTAGAAAGGATGTGATCATTGTTTTAAATATTTTTGTGAATTATCTAGTCTAGTGGGAGTTCGTAGGTTGGTAGAATTAGAAGAAATTCTCACCTAGAACTTAAATTTTGCACAAATTAAATAAGTTAATGATAGTAGAACAATCGTACGCTGAAACTGATTGGGAACATCGTGAACTTTCGTTTTGGTGTCTTTTGTTGAATTATCATTAATTTAGTTTGTCTTTGCAATAAATTAAAATATGTGTGTTTATGTGGAAAATGTGCTAGTATTGATTCTACATTTATTATGTCAATGTGTGATAGATAGTGATTATGGCTTCAGCATCCAAGACCATTGTGGCTAACCTCAATAAGGGTGAGAAGCTGAACAGTGACAATTATGATATTTGGCATCGAAAAGTTCAATACATCCTTCAGGAACAAGAGGTTTTGGAAACCCTCAATCACACCATGGATGAACCTGAGCATGAAACTTCTGCTCAACACAAAAGAGAACAAGAAGCTTTTCAAGCTTGGAAAAAGAAAAATAGCATTGCTCGCATCACGTTGCTGAATTGTATGCAAGATGATCTCATGTGTGAGTTTGAAAGTTATGACAAAGCTCAAGCAATGTGGGTTGCCTTGACAGATAAGTTTGGGGGTACGTCTGTCACTAAGTTGAGGAGGCTCACCATCAAATTTGACATATACCGGAAGCGCTCAAACATGATACGTGAGCTGAAGTCGGCAGGTCATACCTTAACTGACGAATAGCAAGTTCAGGGTGTTATAAGGTCTCTTCCTGACAGCTGAGAATATATGAAAATCAATATGACGCACAATGAGAATATAGTCACTTTTGACGATATTGCGCGTCATTTGGAATTAGAAGATGGGCGCCTAGAGACTGCAAAATCCTCTACCCATGCTTATGTTGCTGAATCAGGTTTAGGCAAAGCTTCGGGCTTTAAGCGCAAGAGGAACCATAAATTCAACAACAAAGGAAAAGCGACTGATCATGCACCCAAGAGAGCCAAGACCTTCCGACGCAAGAAGTGCAGCGGGAAGAAGGACAAGGCCAAGATGATGTGCTACAATTGTGGCAAACTGGGCCACTTTGCTCGTGAATGCACTGAGCCGAAAAAGGTACCACATTACTCCATTACTTTGAGTAATGCTTTTGTTTCTAATACTGTAATGCTTGCTGAATCGCATCTAATGTGGACTGTAGACTCAGGAGAAACAGACCACGTAGCTAGAGACCGAGGAGCATTTGTGGAGTATCGTCGGATACAGCCTAGAAGAAGATGGATATATGTTGGAAATAACTCAAGAGTTGAAGTGAAGGGTATCGGCACATGTAAATTAACCTTTCATGGTGGTCAAAACCTATTCCTACATGATGTCCTCTATGCTCCAGATATTCAGCGAAACTTGGTCTCTGTAGTTGTTCTTCTTAGCTTAGGTTATGTTTTTAATTTTCATGGTGATTGTGTTGACATTTTGTTTGGAACAGTTTATTACAGTTCTGGTTATGTATTGAATTGTTTTATGGTGTTAGACATTGACTATGATGTGTACAAAGTTAATATTAATGGTTGTTTTTCTTTAATTGCATCTTCTAGTAATGTGGAGATTGATGCAAGTACTTGGCATGCTAGATTGGGTCACATTAGGTTACAAAGAATGAAACGATTAGCAAGAGAAGGCCTTTTAGGGTCACTCGCTAATGTTGAACTATCCATATGTGAATATTGTCTAGCGGGAAAAATAACTAGAAAACCATTTGGTAAAGGAACCAGAGCTGAACTTCCATTGCAACTTATACATTCTGATATTTGTGGTCCTTTAAATGTGAGGGCAAGGCATGGAGCCTTATATTTCATCACTTTTATAGATGACTTCATGCGTTTCGGTTATGTTTTTCTGATCTCCCATAAGTCCGAAGCATTGGATTGCTTTAGGCGGTTTATAGCTTTGGTAGAGAATCAGTTGAACAAAACAATAAAGGCATTGAGAACCGATCGCGGACGTGAGTATCTATCTGAGCAATTCAAGGCTTTTTGTGATGAAAAGGGAATTGTAAGACAATTGACTATTCCTGGTACTCCGCAAAAAAATGGGGTTGCAGAAAGAAGGAATAGAACCCTTTTGGAAATGGTTAGGTCTATGATGGCACAGGCAAATCTACCTGTCTCATATTGGGGAGATGCGTTATTGACTGCTACCTATATACTTAATCGTGTGCCCTCTAAGTCAGTTGCTTCCACCCCCTATGAATTGTGGACCGGTAGAAAACCAGACTTAAGTAATCTACGACCTTGGGGATGCGCAACATATGTTCATGATTCTTCCCATAAATATGGCAAAGTAAGCCATAGAGGAAAGAAGTGTATCTTTATTAGATATTCAGAACACTCCAAAGGATACGTGTTCATAGGTGAACAAGCTTATGGAAGTGTGACTGAAATGGAGTCACGAGATGTCACGTTCTTGGAGAACGATTTTCCTAGTAGAGGTGAGATTGATAAAGACTTCCAATTACATGAGATGGAAGATCCTGATAACACACCTACTAATATTATTGAGGGAAATACAGATTTACCTCAACATATAAGACCTAGTGAGAGTGTAGTGTCGCCTGACAATCTGAATTCTCAAGAAGTTCAGTTGCGTAAAAGTAATCGTAAAAGTATTCCCCCTCGTCGATTTGAGATTGAAGGGGAAGCATTTATGATTGCTCCACAAGACGATGCAGAGCGTAAAACAGTTCAAGAGGCTCTCTCATCTCCGGACAAGGAAGAATGGAGAAAAGATTTGGAAGACGAAATTGAGTCTATGAGGACAAACCACATCTAGGACTTGGTTGATCTACCACCCGATCGCATGGCTATTGGAAACAAATGGATTTTCAAGATTAAGCGAAGGGCGGATGATCCATTGAAAAGTATAAGGCTCGCCTTGTGGCAAAAGGCTATACTCAACAAGAGGGTGTAGACTATGAGGAAACTTTTTCAACAGTTGTAAGGTTTGCTTCCATATGCCTTATCCTAGCGCCATTGTTGCACATTTGGACCTAGAATTACATCAAATGGATATAAAGACAGCATTTCTCAATGGAGAACTAGATGAAGAAATCTATATGAAACAACTGATAGGTTTCATTGCTGAAGGTCAAGAGCGTAAAGTTTGCAAACTTCATCGCTCAATTTATGGCCTTAAGCAATCGTCTAGACAGTGGTATTTTCGTTTTCATCTAGCCATAACTTCTTTTGGGTTCACGATGATCGAAGAGGATCACTGTGTGTATATCAAACGGTCCGAAGATAAATTTATGATTTTATCTCTTTATGTGGACGATATTCTGTTGGCTGGGAATGACAAGGGTTTGGTTATAACCATAAAAGAATAATTGTCTTCTAATTTTGAAATGAAGGACATGGGAGAAGCTGCATATATATTGGGAGTTAAGATTGAAAG